GTTCTTCTGTCTATGCAATTATGAGTAATTTCCCTAGGAAAGCATTGACTTTACTAGGAGTACATTCTCAAAATCATCAAAAATTAAGAAATGAAACATAGTCCCTTGAAAAATGTTTAGGGTGCTATTTCTTTACTCCCTGACCATGAAGAACAGACTGTTGTCTTGTTCACACATACACTCTCACACACTAGCGTCTATGAGAAATTATAATAGATTTATCAGTTCTAAAATAATTGAGAAATTATATGCTGGTAAATGTGAAGGGCACTTCCAGGTCATATGTGGGAGCCCTAAATGTGTGTGCTCTTCTGCTTTATCTTCAGATAATTGAATGATTCTGATTTTTCATGCTTCCCCTATGAAATTTTGGAAGTAACTTTTTACTTAAGAATAGACTAAGATATTTTGCCCTCAGCTCCTTAAGGGAGAAGGAGACAGAAGATATCCCCTTAGAAAAAAATCTATGTGGAATTCTAGCCTATGGTATTTTTACAAAATGAGAAAATAGACTTTGTTACATTTTGAAAAGATCCTAATTAATGTGTTCTGGTGTCAAAATGAAGTAGAATATTTAAGTTTTTCTTTTTAAATTATAGTGCCAGAGTAGGTGCAGAAAAGTACCAGTTCGAACTGTTGTATGTTATGTCATGTCTTTCTTTAATAAAATCACCCTGTCTTGAAAACAAAAATATCTGTATTATTGATAATAAAGGCTACTCTTGTTGGCTTTGACAACCCACTAGTCAAACATACATTGATGTAGCTTAAAATACTTTATTCACATGCAGTAGGGCTCTTGATTCCCACTCTGGATCATCTCTATACACCGTCTGCATTTTCTCTGTCCATGTCCATTGTACCATTGCATATGTTAGGTTATTAAGTATGAAATGTCCGGCGTTTTTGACAGTTGATACAACTGACATTTCACTTTGACACTTATTTTTATCGTGAAGGTACATCCTCATTCTTTCAAACGCATGCTTTGGTTTGTGATTATCTTTCAAATTTTTTTTAGAGCAATTTTTGTGAAACCATGGATAAGTCAAAAATTTGTGTTATCAAATATTAGTTCTGTTGTGAAACCAGTGCTGCACAGACAGCTCAAAATATCAACAAAGTGTTTGGGAAATATGTGGCCAATAAACGCACAGTACGTCGATGGTTTGAGAAGTTCCATTCTAGTGATTTTAATCTTGAAAATGAGCCACTTGGGTGACCTGAGACCAAGGTGGGTAATGATGAGCTGAAAGCTGTAGTGGAATTGAATCCTCCTCAACCTATGTGTGAATTAGCAGCTAGATTTGACGATACTATTGCAACAATATTGGACCATGTGAAACAAATGGGCAAGGTAAAGAAGCTGGATAGATGGGTTCCGCATGAATTAAATGAACATCAGAAGAGAAATTGTCTCGAAGCTTGCCTTTCTTTGCTGTCATGACAAACAGGCGAACCATTTTTACACCGTTGTGCTATGTGTGATGAAAAATGGATTCTTTTTGACAATCTCAAGTGTTCGGCACAGTGGTTGGATAAAGATGAAGTGCCGAAACACAGTCCAAAACCGAACATTCATCAAAAAAAGCTAATGGTGTCTGTTTGATGGTCCAGCACTGGGATTATCCCCTACAGCTTCATGAAACCTGGTCAGTTGAGGACAGTGGATGTCTACTGCATCCAGTTGGATGAAATGATGAAGATGCTTGTGATTAAGGAGCTGAGATTGGTCAATAGAGAGAGAGCCCTTGACCACATGTCGCACACATAATGCCACTCAAACTCCAGAAGCTAGATGTGGAAATAGTCTGTCATCCACCATATTCACCAGACCGTGCACCAACTGACTACCACTTTGGACCACTTCTTGGAAGGAAAAACATTTAATTCTCAATAAGCTGTGGAAAATGCCTTTTGCAATTTCATTGCCACTCTTCAGGCTTCTTTGCTGCTGGCATAAACAAGCTACGTTAAGATGGCAAAACTGTGTTCATAGTTTAGGCGCATACTTTGACTAATTGTACCACTTGTTTGAGATATAATTAAACTTTTGATTCGAAATCGGACATTTCATATTTAATGACGTAATATATAGGCAAGAGCAGGGAATTTCTCACTGAATCCCTCTAAATTTTTATTTATTCCTTGGGCCAGGAACACCAGTCATAATAGGGCCTCAGGAAAACAACAGTCTGTTTTCTTTGACATCTGGAATCTATTTAGTCCATTTGTTGTTCTGTGTACTCTCTAAATACAGTAGTCTTATTTTTCCCAATTTCAGACATTCAGGTACTGACTTTTTCCTGAATTTATTGAGAGGAAACTGTAAATCACTGCCACAAATGGAGAACAGAGTTCATTTGCCATAAATAGAATGAATCTGTAAAAATAAATGCAGCAAAAGTAGAGCAATGTTATAAATTACAACTGAATATTTTTATTGTTAAAGCTACGAACCTAAAGCCCATTAGCTTTCTTCAGAAGGTAGATTACGTTATTAGAGATGTTGAAAGACTGTTAGCACCACACTGAAACTTTGTTTTTTTCTTTAATCACAGGAATTTAAAGATAATAGAAATTTGTCATCTTTTCAGTACTATTTAGTATAATGTCCCTGTACCACACTTTAGGAAAAGAAATACTGCATATGACCTATTAAAGAAGTGAGTTAATCACTTCATTTTGTTTGCAGTTAACAAGACAGCTAGAGCCATGTGTAATGCTGTAGTATATGTCTTAGTTTGTGCTTTTTCCATTCTTTCTCATAATAAGTGGTCCTTACTATGTGTATTTTTCTCACCAGGATATTTTGCTCATCAACCTCATTATAGAACATATGATTTGTGATACAGATCCTGAACTTGGAGGAGCAGTCCAACTTATGGGACTGCTTCGAACTTTAGTTGACCCAGAGAACATGTTAGCCACTGCCAATGTAAGCCATGGGCGTTTTTCCTCTTTTTTATAGCTAGCATATTGTTTATTGCTGGTAGAAACCAGTGCAGTTAAAGTTCATGGAGGTATTTTTGATTCCTTAGAAAACAGAAAAGACTGAATTTCTGGGTTTCTTCTACAAGCACTGTATGCATGTTCTCACTGCTCCCTTACTAGCAAATACAACAGAAGACAAACCTAGCAAAGGTAAGATAATACAGGTTGGTAGTTCTTTGTTCTTTAATTCTGAAATTCAAGGTTGGTGTTGAGTAACAATCTTTATAGGAGACAGTCGGGGAGGCAGAGGCTGGGAGGGATGGGGGTGAGTAGGGATGGAGTGTCAGGATGTGCCCTAGAAAATCAACAGTCTTTAAAAGTTTGAACCATTAGATGTCTAATAATGTATTTTGAAAACAGATGTTCATGGTAAAATTTCTTTAAAGGGGCTATGACCAGAGATAACAGAAACATATAAAAGAAGAAATAAGAGACAATTGTTGCTTCCAGAATATTAAAACAATTTTTTTTTTTGTGAAACAATATTTATGGACTGCATCTACACAGGTGAAATAGAAGAAGTTATGAAAAAATTCATTTTAGGCCGGGCACGGTGGCTCACGCCTGTAATCCTAGCACTCTGGGAGGCTGAGGTGGGCGGATTGTTTGAGCTCAGGAGTTCGAAACCAGCCT